TTTACAACATATAATTAAGTGACATGATTTTAACTCTTTTGCATAATCTTGAAAATCAGTGTTTAGGGCCGATAAAAAAAAAAAATGGAAAATCGTTTTTATGACGAAGCTTTCTGCATATCAAAATCATCAGCGTATGGTGAATATATATTAACTGTAGTATATGCGTCATATTTTTATTTTCTTTTTACACTATGGCTCTAGCTATTATGAATATGCACCGACATTTAAAAAAAATAATGATAACACGTGTGTGTGTGTGTGTGTGTGTGTGTGTGTGTGTTGTGTGTGTGTGTGTGTGTGTGTGTGTGTGTGTGTGTGTGTGTGTGTGTGTGTGTGTGTGTGTGTGTGTGTGTGTGTGTGTGTGTGTGTGTGTGTGTGTGTGTGTGTGTGTGTGTTTCACCCGACTAACGTTGCACATATTCCGTGAAAATGCAACATATTTACAATCATCATAATATGTTCAGTGAGACCAAGAAATCTGAAGTTCTGAACAGCTGTTTCAAATGACAGCTTATGTAAAGAAAAAAATTATTATTATTATTAATTACTGATTAGGGTTTCAACTACAGGAATAATAGGCTTATCTACTTGTTAAAGACTTAATTTCTTAGAAAATCTTTAACTTATTAACAAGGAAAAGGACTATTTTTTTTTTTTCATCAGAAATTCGATTTCCTCTGAGAATGAAAATATAATTAGAACCCAATTTCATGGATTTGGAAACGATTAATGGAATCAGATCCCAAGTTTATTGCGATAAGTGTAAGATATTTCACAATACACTATTTACTTATTCTAGGACATTATATTACTTCTCAAGCAATACACTTTTATGAAAATTTAGCCGCGTTAAATTTTAAAGTCCTATAAGCACTTTTGTTCGAAAAGTTTGCTTTTTATTATCATTATTATCTTTATTATTTTTATTATTATTTATTATTATTATTATCATTTTATTATCATTTTATTATAATTTTATTATTATTATCTAACAATGGAGGAAATATTTACGCGTCTGTATCCGGGAGATTCGAATAGCTTATTCAGATCGCTATGATAACGATAGTCTTAAAGTGTCTATATATCTCGCGCTGTTATCATATTTGAGGAGATCTTTATCGGCGACGATTTTGGTGTCTGTTGACGTAAAAAAGCTTCTGTGAAAAGGTGAATTAAATTTTTCTCGATCGTGGTTGGTGTTCGGGTGCAGTCCGTGGCGGTCCTCTGTCCTCTCTCCTCTCTCGCTCTCGCTCTCTCTCTCTCGCTCTCTCTCTCGTCTCTCTCTCTCTATCTCTCTATCTCTCTCTCTCTCTCTCTCTCTCTCTCTCTCTCTCTCTCTCTCTCTCTCTCTCTATCTCTATCTCTATCTCTTTCTCTCACTCTCCTCTCTCTATCTATCTCTCTCTTTCTCTCTCTCGCTCTCTCTCGCTCTCTCTCTCTCTCTCTCTCTCTCTCTCTCTCTCTCTCTCTCTCTCTCTCTCTCTCTCTCTCTCTCTCTCTCTCTCTCTCTCTCTCTCTCTCTTTCTCTCTCTCTCTCCATTGTAACAAATGAAATTAAATAAGATTATTCTATTCTGCCTTTTGTATTTCATCTACGGCCTGTTTGCTCGCTGTTCATTCTTTTACGAACCGTATTAATGGGTATTATTAAAATATTATTAAAATATTAGTATTATTATTACTTATTTTAAAAAAGTACGAACGAAGCTAGCCTTAAAATCTCACCAAATCTGAATAAAATATCTTCACCTCTTATTTCTCTCCCCCTTCTTACCCCTTATCCCCTTCCCCCCGTTCCCCCTTCCCCCCCTTTCCCCTTCCCCCCCTCCCCTATCCCCCTTTCCCCTTTCCCCCCTTCCCCCTTCCCCCCCCCTTCCCCCCTTCCCCCTTCCCCCTTCCCCTTCCCCCCTTCCCCCTTCCCCCCCTCCTTCCCCTTCCCCCTTCCCCTTTTCCCCCTTTCCCCCCTTACCCCTACCCCTTACCCCTTCCCCCTTCACCCTTCCCCCTCCCCCTTCCCCTTTCCCCCTTCCCCCCTTCCCCCCCCCCCCTCTAGCCGAAACCAGCTCCGCCTGGGGGGGAGGCGCCCCCGGACTCAGCAACGCCTTCGTCGGGGGGTTCATGTGGCTGGATAAGCTGGGGGTGGCGGCCCGTGGGGGGATCAGCCTCGTCGCCCGCCAAACCCTCTATGATGGCTGTTACGCGCTCCTGGATCGGGATCTGAACCCTTATCCGGTAAGATAATAATAATGTTAATAGCAATGATAATAGTAGTAAAAAATAGTAAAATACAATAGTAAAAAAAAAGGATAATGATGATGATATTGATGATAATAATAATGATGATAATGATAATAATGATAATAATACTAACAGAAATGATAATAATAATAATAATAATAATAGCAATAATAGTAATGATGATATTGATATTGATAATAATAATGATGATTATAATAATGACCTGTGAGATAGCCTTAATAACTCGAACTCTGTAAGAAAATGTTTGTTTGTTTGTCAATAACATTATTTCATAACCTGTATTTTTTCCGTCAGTAAAAAACACATACTAATCTTTCAGGATTTTTTGTGTGTTATATGTGTGTACAGGATTACCACTATTTTTTTAACCTTTTTTTTATTTTATATATCTTTTTTTTTTTTTTTTTTTTTTTTTTTTTTTTTTTTTTTTTGCTACAGGGACTCTGTAAGATGTACAATAGTCTTTTCTTCTCATTTTTTTTTTTTTGTCAAACCTTGATATTTTTCTTATTATTTTTATGCATTTATACGTTCTTTCTCGTTGATGTTATACACCAAGACCCATTGTTATTGTTATTGTTGTTGTAAACTGAACCTCTCTGCTGTTATAGAAATGTATATTTTCTTGATTCTGTACCATTTTTCTTCTCTTTTCACTGTTTTTTACACAATCATACCTTTTCTCTTCCTTTTTGGCTGCTTTTGTTACACAATATAACCTTTTCTCTTCCTTCTTTCTGCTTTTGTTACACATTTACCCTTTTTCTCTTCCTTTTTGGGCTGCTTTTTTACACAATCATAACCCTTTTCTCTTCCTTATCTTTGGGCTGCTTTTGTTAACCCTTTTCTCTTCCTTTCTTTGGGCTGCTTTTGTTACACAATCATAACCCTTTTCTCTTCCTTTCTTTGGGCTGCTTTTGTTACACAATCATAACCCTTTTCTCTTCCTTCTTTTTGGCTGCTTTTGTAATTATAATGTTACACAATCATAACCCTTTTCTCTTCCTTTCTTTGGGCTGCTTTTTGTTACACAATCATAACCCTTTTCTTCCTTTCTTTGGGCTGCTTTTGTTACACAATCATTACCCTTTCTCTTCCTTTCTTTTGGGCTGCTTTGTTACACAATCATAAACCCTTTTCTCTTCCTTTCTTTGGCTTGCTTTTGTTCATCATAACCTGCTTTTGTTACACAATCATAACCCTTTTTCCTCCTTTCTTTGGGCTGCTTTTGTTACACAACCGGAATTTTATCCCTTATTTCCCCCCCCCAACAGGATTACTGGTTATCCGTGTTGTTCAAGAGGCTCGTCGGGGGTCGAGTCCTCAGCCTAACGACTCATGAAGCTCCGAAAACAGTTCGACTCTATGCTCACTGCTACAACGAGGAGGCGGAGGATCACTTCCCAGGTAGGCCTATAGGTGGGAGGGGAGGTGGTTGTGGAGGAGGAGGTGGAAGAGGAGGCGAGGATCACTTCCCAGGTAGGCCTATAGGAGGGGAGGGGTTGGGGGTGGTGGAGGAGGGGGAGGTGGAGGATCACTTTCCCAGGTAGGCCTATTGGTAGGGGAGGGGGAGGGGGTGGTGGAGAAGGAGGTGGAGAGTGGGAGGATTACTTTCCCAGGTAGGCCTATGGAGGGAGGGGTTGGGGGGTGGTGGAGGAGGGGAGGGGAGGCGGAGATCACTTAGGTAGGCCTATAGGTGGGGAGGGGTTGGGGTGGTGGTGGAGGAGGGAGGTGCAGGATCACTTCCCAGGTAGGCCTATGGTAGGGGAGGGGGAGGGGGGGTGGAGGAGGAGGTGGAGGTGGAGGAGAGGTGGTGTGGAGGAGCGGAGGAGGGAGGGGGAGGATCACTTCCCAGGGTAGGCCTAGGAGGGGTTGGGGGAGGGGAGGAGGGAGGTGGTAGGTGAGGTGGAGGTGGGAGGTGGCAGGTGGGGTGGAGGAGAGGAGGAGAAGAGGCAGAGGATCACTTCCCAGGTAGGCCTATGGTAGGGGAGGGTTGGGGGGTGGTGGAGGAGGAGGTGGGAGGTGGGAGGATTACTTCCCAGGTAGGCCTATGGTAGGGGAGGGGGAGGGGGTGGTGGTGGAGGAGGTGGAAGAGGAGGCGGAGGATCACTTCCCAGGTAGGCCTATAGGAGGGGGGGAGGAGGGGGAGGGGGAGGAGGAGGAGGAGGAGGAAGAGGGAGGCGGAGGATCACTTCCCAGGTAGGCCTATGGTAGGGGAGGTTGGAGGAGGAGGAAGAGGAAGAGCGAAGGATCACTTCCCAGGTAGGCCTATGGGAGGGGAGGGGGAGGCGGAGGATCACTTCCCAGGTAGGCCTATGGTAGGGGAGGGGGAGGGGGAAGGGGAGGAGGAGGAGGAAGAGGAGGCGGAGGATCACTTCCCAGGTAGGCCTTAGGAGGGAGGGGTTGGGGTGGTGGAGGAGGAGGAGGAGGAGGAGGAGGTGGAGGTGGAGGTGGGGTGGTGGTGGTGAAGGAGAAGAAGAAGAAGTGGAGGAGGAGGAGGAGGAGGTTAAAGAAAAGAGGAGAAGATTTAGAAGGAAGAGTAGGAGGAAGAAGAATAAAAATAGGAGGAAGAGGAAGATGTAGAAGCGGAGGAGGAAGAGGGGAGAGAAAGAAGAAAAACAACAACAGGAGGAAGAGGAAATCGAGGAAAGAAAGAAAATAAAGAAAACACACAGGTGAAACAACTGAATAAAAAAGAACAGTACAATTACTTTACATGAAAACAGTACAAACAATGT